CCCCAAAACCCCAAAACCCCATGAAAAAGATTGGTGGGAGATATGTATGAATAAGATTTCTACTATTGTTAATGGAAAAGCCTAATAAAATAAAAATTATTTAATTCATATCCACTTCATGATAAAAACTTAAGCAACACAACCCTCATCTCGATATAGCACTAAGTAACTCTAGTCCTACATAAAGAACCTAGATAGCTTTGGAATCCCAGTATCTCTCACATTTAAAAATGATCCACATCTTAAATCATTTGTTGGAGGAGCAATGACAGTACTAAGCAGAATTGGAGTATTCATATATCTTGCACTTTAGATGATTTCTGTGTTCTCTAAAACAGCCACGATTTAGGCATCTTTCTACAGAAGAGACCTAATAAAGGATCCAACGTAGTATGACTTAACTTTAAAAGACTTTGATTATGGAATAAGACTAGAATATGTGTTCTATGAGCGTGAACCTCAGATTTAAGCTGAGCTTGACTAATATGTTTATATGTAAGTTATCATCTAATCTTAATAATGAGTTTAGGCAAATAAGTCAAAATATATATACATGGGTGAAAGACAAAAAGGGTAATTCAGTCTTTCAAAAACAAAAAATCAAAACAGAATTAGGAAATTGTAGCTAAGGAAGATTAGGTTTAAAAGAAGGTGAAGTAGATTATCTAGGCATTATAAATGGATACTAATGTCCTAAAGATGTCAATTATTAAATTAAGGGAAGTTTTTCTGGTGAGCAAACCAAATTTATCTAATTATCCGTCAGGGACTGCAATTAAACATATCTTAATGAAGCCTATAACAAAACCAAGTAATGCAAATCAAAAAAAGAGATTGAGAGAGTTTCCGCTAATCTTAAAATGTACTTTGTTGCTGAAAATTCCTACTTTGACGAGAATGACTATGGTAGCGAATCAGTAAAAAAATTCTTGAAACCTTATTATCTAACTTCAAAGAACGCAACAAGCAAGTACTATTATATGCTACTGAGCCAAAATGAGATAATTAAATAAGATAATTTGCTACTTGATGAGGAGGTCAATGATAAATTTATCGAAACTAAAATCGATTACAGCGTTGATCAAGAGCTAGAGGCCATTGATGCTTATAATAATGCTTACATAGGAGTCTATATTTAGATGGATGATTAAGTGAAAACAGTTAACAGAAAGCTAATGACTATTTTAGATGCTTTAGGAAATACTGGAGGCTTCATGAGTATTATAATCGTAGTGGCATACGCTATGATCTAGTATGTGTAGAAAACTTTGTACTACACCTCGCTTGTTAAAAGTCTATTCGTTTTTCAAGAGAATTTTGAATAGCAAAGTTTTTAACCATATTCTCAAAACAAGCAAAAGAATGTAAAAATAAGATTATCTACAAAAAAGAATTTAGAGGAGGAAGTTATATCTTTTGAAGAAAAGTCAGCAAGAAATGAAGAGTAGGATTCTTCTACTGAAGAAATCAATCTCTTTTAAAAACTTTACAAATAGCTCAGCAGCAGGAAAAAACTTAAATACACTTTAACTGATGAATTTAAGTCAACTTTTATTCGGTTAAGGATCTGCAAAAAGACAAGCTAAGAATAAGTTTAAAAAGATATTCTATACAAAAGAGGAGTTGATAAAATAGACCATGAGCTTGATCTAAGATATATAATTAAGTAGCTAAGATCTTTGAAATTCATTAGTTAGGTCTTGCTTAATAAACAATAAAGATTTATGCTGCCTTACTTTAAAGCTAATTTACTGAATGTGTAAAATGCACCAGAATAGAATAAAAAAGATAAATTTGGACCTTATTTGAGGAAAACTATTGAAAATAGAGATCATACCAAGATTGACAGAAGGATACTTAAGTATATTGATCTTTCAGACGAGGATTTGCAACATAAAGCCAAGATTAATATTGGTTCAGATTCTGCTCTTAAATAGACAAACAACTAAAAAATTAGCGACAAAAGCCTATCTAGCGTTGAATAGAATCAATGGGATTAGAATAGTCAAGTAAATTTAGATACTCCTTTGAATATTAGCAAGCAGCAATTGCTCTCAGACAGTCAAAAGTAGCATACTTAAAATAGCAAGAGGAAATTAAGTTCAAGCAAAATAGATGAATCACTAATTGGTAACTCTCATATTAAAGAGTAAAATGATATTGATGAAATGATACTGGATATTGAAAATGATACCCCTATCTACTAAAATCATAGTAAAAAACATAATTCTCTTATTTGAATAGAATGATTTTTGCATTTGATTTTTAAAATTTCTTATAATTTGGCGATGTATTACCATTTGGGGTTTTGGGGTTTTGGGGTTTTGGGGTTTTGGGG